TTAAGGGCTGATCTGCACACCCAAGCAGACGGTAATACAGTGTCTGAGTGAGTTTGTGGATCAATGTTTCATATCAGTTATGAGATCAAAGCCTGGACCATGGGGCGTGGAGGGGGGGCTGGCGTGAGAGGCGACCCGAGGCAGGCGGGGCCCTGTGGCAGCATCTGGTCCTTGGACACGACTGTATCTGTGGAAAGCGAGCGGCCGCTGAGGGCGTGGAGCAAGGGGTTGCGTGGCCCTAAGTGCGGTGGGAATGGGGCTGCAGGAGGGGCCTGGGTGGGAGCGGACATCAGGGAGGAGACTCCCCGCCAGGGCGGCAGGTTCCAACCACACAGTGAATCGTAAACATGGACAGGACTTTGCTCACAGAGCCTCGGGCGTCAGGGAAATAAGCACAGGGCTCGTGTGACACTGCCCGGCCGTCACCTGTGACCACAGGCTTCACACCATCTGCCTCCCAACAACGTGTGGGCACAGGAGGACCATGGGTCACAGGGCCCTCGGTGGCGGGGTCAGGATGAAAACCAGGTTTGAGGACGCAAACCGATGCGTGAAGAGGACGGGACGCAGACGGAAGGGCTGGCGGGGGCGCCCAGCCGGCCGGGCCGTGCTCCCTGCTGTGTCAGCGTCTGGTTCTCATCAAGTCGTTACAGGAAACAGGAGCCTGTGCCAGGGGACGCGGAGAGCAGCTTCCTGGGCTCCGGGAATGCCGCGGCCGCCTGTCCGTCCTGTCAGTCCTTCCACTCACGGATCCACGTGGCTGGTTCTGCTGCTCTGCTCCCTCCCGTGCAGGTCACCGACACCGCAGGGCGTCCTCCACCGNAGGAGGCCCGGGTTTGACACACACATGATCAGGGCGAGGGCCCATGCGTGACACAGCTGCAGAGGTAAGTGACAGCTCTTATTCGCGTGTGAGGGCTGCCCTCAGCTCTCTGTAGCCTGTGTCTTCAGTCAAAATACACTGTTGCAGGGTGCGTGCCGTGTCTCCTCCGTGCCCACCTGCCCCTATCCTGCCCAGAAAGGGGGCATCAAAGCCCACAGACCTGCTTCTGTTTCGTCCCCACGTCCTGGGCATAAGAAACAGCGCTGTGCATACCCTGTGTTAAGAGCATAAACAGAAGTTATTATATGACATCAGTGAGATCTCCCCTCGCGCACCCTACGTCAACCGGCACACAACACCACTTTACGGCCACTGGTGGGAGACGGACAATATCTCAGATCACTACTTTGCACAGCTGATTTCTGCTGTGCTGCTGAAGATTTCTTCAATTATTAACTTAAAGCTTATAAACCAAGCAGCCAGAAAAACAAAAAAGCGGCGAAATATAATTGTGGAATTTTAAGAAATGTGTGTATTTCCCCCTAATGTTAACACTGGGTCAGACTTACTGGGTCAAGCACATCAATTTCAAAACCTTCATAAACAAACAAATGTACGTAACACAGAACGAATGGAAAATAATAAAACGTAACACCTGTAAGAATAACTGTTGTTAATTTTTATGAGGTCTTAAAAATATTTACTGCAGAAAAAAAATCAACCTAATATAAAGTTATTTAAGAAAACAAAAGTGTATATTATTTTGTCATTTTAACAGCATTCGCTAAACTGGAGCATAACAGATGGATGTGCTTACTGGGAGGCCCTGCTGTTGCCATGGAAACGCCGATGCCGTGTGCCCTGAAACGCGTGTGTCTGGGTTTCTCAGGCTAAGCAAACGAGCGGGTCCATGATACTTGTTCTCTTTATAAGTGATACGTGAGGTCCAGAATAAGCAAAGGCCGAAAGGGCGACTTTGCTCCAGAAACACGTGACACCTGAGGCCAGGTGACATGTGGCCCCACCGGTCCAGCAGGCCCCACCTTCCGCGCTTAGAGGGCTGGAAGCAGGTTTCAGGGTCTACAGTTTAACTCACGGAAACGTATACAGGGTGGAAAGTGGCAAGGACGACTGTGCTGATGCAGAGGGTGACGTGCAAACGGGGCACATGTGAGGACGCTGCTGTTAGGACACAGGTGACAACGTCCCCCGTGGGCCGTCGGAGCTTCTGGGCCGCTTCGTTGATGGAAAGTGCCCGAAATCGTGAAGCTGGTGGGGGAGACGCAGCCCACCCATCCTGAGTTTCTCTCCACAAACACTCCTTAGGCATTGAACCAACGTGATGAACTGGCTGTCATGCTCCTAGGAGGTGTTTCCACACACACACGTGCGTGGGCTAGAGCCTGCCTTCCTCACCGCTGAGTCTCCGCGCTCCTGCTCTACGCAAGTTCATTGCCTGCTTGGTACATCGTCAGGTGGGAGGCTTTGGCACTAAGAGGTTGTATGGGAAACAGTTCTGAATTAGGGCTGTGGAAACAGGGTGGGACCTCTCTCAGAGATGACATTAGGTGAGTGACACTGCTTGGGAATGCTGATAGGCAGATGAAAAGTGCTAAAAGTGACTGGAATGTCTTCCCATGCACGTGTGTCCAGAGGGACCTGAGCCCTGCTCACATGCCACGTCCTCAGGTCCTGACCTGCATGCCATCGGGCACTGACGCACGACACGGGCCCGTTTGAGCCAGCTCTGAATTCTCCCACTTCCTCTCGGCCCTCCTGACCCATCCACCCACCTCCCCCGCCAGACCTGCGGGATCACACCTCAGAGACGGGCTGTGAGACCGTGTCTGAGGGCTCCGTACCCCTGGGAGTGCTGCTTTCTCGCTCTGTGACTCAGTTTCCCCATCTGTGAAACCGAGTACACTTACCTGGACGGCCCAGAAAGGTTTTAACAACAATCAGCAACAAAAACGACATGTGCAGCTGTTCTGTGCACCAGGCACCCTAACTGCTCTGAGACACAAAATATCATCACAGACAAGAGATGGACTCAGACTTGCTGACAGGCTGGCCTGTGGGGTGTATTTCAATGGGCAGGGGGTGTCGTACTGTAGTGAGGGGGTTGTGTGCAAGCTGCCGCCCGTGTGTGTCTGTGTGTCTGTGCACATGTAACTATGTTCACACGTGTATCTGTCTGTGCATATGTAACTATCTGTTCACATGTGTGTGTCTATGTGTACGTGCATACATAACTATCTATGTCAACATGTGTCTGCATGTATGTGCACATATAACTATATGTTCACACGTGTGTGTCTGCGTATATGTGCATATATAACTACATGTTCACACGTGTGTGCGTACAGGGGCACGTACAGTCAACGCTGGTGTCCTGAGCCTCGGAGCTGCCCTGTCCCCCAGAGAAGCCATGGCCGCGTGTGACGGGTCAGGACTGGAATGTGCTGTAACTGGATTTCAGAGACCGAGTAGAAGAAACACAAACTATGTACCTCACCTCACTCATCAACTTTTATGTTGAGTACACGTGGGGATGGAATTGAGGCTACACTGAGTAACTGGAACACACTATCCACGTTCCTGCCGCGGTTTCTCCTTGCTTCTCCGGGTGGCTCCCGGGAGACGCTGCCGGCTTTGGACTCACCACCTCGAGCACAGGGCTGCGGAGCACTTTGCGTCTGGAGGCCACACGCTCACACGCGCATGGCAGGGATTAGGTCGGATGGTATGGTCCCGACTGTCAGACAGACAGACGTGCATGGCAGGACACGTCCACGTGCCACTGACGTCTTCCACACACACGTCCCCCACCCAGGTCCCAGCACACGTGACGGCAAGATGAGTCCTTTCCGAGTCCCAGAGCCACTGGCCTTCCCGTGTGATACTCTGAGTACGTCAGCCGCGCCTTTATTAGGCCCCTGCAGCGTAAGAGGACACGTCTCAGTGCAGTGCCTGGAGGACAGTGTGACAGCAGGGGGGACGGGAGCCAGCAGGGCTGACGCCATGGTGAGGGCTGTGGGGGACAGTGTGGGGCCAGCACACTCGGCCTGAAAGGAGGTTTCTGGGGCCCAGAGAGGGAGCGGCGTGGACAGGGCCGCTGTCCGAGCTGTGGCCCCCTGGGCAGCCCTCGGGGATGCCATGCTGCGAGCTAGCCCGGAGAGACCTGGTTAGTAAACACGCCCCCCCTTGGCGAAAGCCCCTCAAAGAGCCAGCTGGTCAGGGGACCCTGTGACGCCCGCACGGCTGTCCCGCAGCGTGCCACGGGAGGACGCTGGGTGTCCAGGCTCAGGAGGAAGACGGGCAGCGCAAGAGGACTTTTCATTGTTCGGAACGACATGCTCACCAACTGGGGGATGAAAGGGACCGGCAAGTACACCAGCTGTCCCCAAACATGTCACCGCGATGCCCGTGGAAGGCTGGCAGTTTTCCTCCCAGTGATGTCGCAAGAATACTCTCACCACCCGTCCCATTTTCAAGTTCAAGATTTACAATCACCTTTCTCTCTTTGGATGAGCCATGCGGTTTGCTGAGGTAAGTGTCCCTCAGGCGGGGGGTCATGAGGAGGTCTATGTCACGATCCTTTTTTTTTTAAAGATTTTTATTGGGGAATTGGGGGGATGGGAACAGCCCTGGGGAATTGGGGGAAGGGGAACAGACAAGTTGCTGTCGTTTTGTTCTTCAGTCTAGTTGTGGAGGACGTTGCTTCACTGGCCCAAGTTGGCACCATCATTGCGCTCTTCCCGGGCGAGGCACATCAGTCGCCGGCTTCTGGACGGCCGCTCACTGTGGCTGCTGGCCGCTCACGCTGGCTGCTGGCTACACACGGTAGCCCATGGCAACCCACAGCCACAGGGGCTGCAGCCTACGCCCAGCGACTCATGGGCAGCCCAGCTCCAGGTTGAGCTGTTGTTCAGCTTCTTAGCTGCGGAGGGCAGTGTCACTGGCCCTCATATGTGGGATCCGAACCGGGGCACTCTGGCATCCCAAGCCAGCTCTTAACCAACGCGCCACTCGGCCGGCCCCTAGGTCATGATCCTAACGTCAGGCTCAGGGAGCCTCTGGCCCCCAGGAATTCAATGGCTATATGTGAAAACCGCGGACGGTTCCACAACGCAGAGAGGAAAGCATCTCAGTAGGTCATTCTTCCAGCCACGTGGGCTCAGTCATCCCGGCAGAGCCGTGTGGACACCTCCCGGCTTAGACGCGATGAGCCACGTGGCCGGCTGCCCGCTGTCATTTTCTGCACGTGGCACTCAGCCGGGAACGGCTGCTCTGAGGCTCTCCGGGCTGCAGCTCTGCCTTCGGTGCTGCCTGGGGCCGGGCCCGGGGTTTCCAGGCAGCTGCTCAGAGGACAGGAAGTGGGGAGTCCGGCGTCCAGGTGAGCAGAGAGGAGGTTTGCCTCCCTCCTTGTTGTGTGTCTCACTCTGAAAACACTGTGACCGCAGCCATACCAGACACGGAAGCGCTCCGGCTGCACCCCAACGGCACAGGTGACGACAGGAGCCCTAGACACTGGGTACGTCTCGTGGCCAGGTACAGGGATGGGGGCGTCGGACGTGGCCTGGGAAGTGGGGAGACGGCGACGGCGTGAGTACGAATGCTCTGCATTCTGTCCTCCATGTGTGTCATCCATTACTTCAGCACATGGCATCAGAAAGCGAGGCACCTGGGGGAATCTGACAAGCGTGCGACGTGTAGAGTGAATAACAGGCTCCGAGGGCAGGGTGCCACCTGCTAGCCTGGGCGGCTCACACATCTCAACCTCCCTACACACAGCTGAGTTCTCAGCCGTAAAACATGCAGAGCAGGGACACACATCTCTGCGGTCGTGGTGAAGGTGACCTGGGACGTCCTCCAGCGGCAGGACGGACACTAAACATCAGCGAGTGTGCAGCTATCGGACGTCTCTCAGTGCCACACGGGCTTAACAGGAGGCCCTCAGAGTCACCGGGGCGGAGCCTTTCACCACCATTGTTCTATATCTTTTGCAAAACATGTCTTGCTTTCTGTCACACAGTATCAATCCCAGGTCCACCTCTGTCTAGTTCCAGGAAAGGCAGCTCCTGAGAACTGTGTGTTTCTAGATCCAAGATGAAAAACTGATAAGCCCACGCGTTCCCTTTTGGCTTAGCCATCAGGACACTGCCCCGCTGTTAGAATCAGCATCTCCCCGGCGTGTCTAATCCTTTTCAAGGGTCTCCGATTTTTTTCTGTGCATTTTCCTATTTCATATTAGCTTCCTTCTGTAAGCCAAGCCAAGTCTTTTCAGACCCCGTTAAGGGTAAACCATAAATATCTATGTAACATGCAATAAAATTGATGTAGATTCTTTGTGGCAGCTATCTGTGCCCTCGCTGGGGCCATTCCATCGCCACTGACAGTGCCACAGGAAAGCAAGAGAAAAAGACCGAAAATCAAGTTAATTATGTTTAGATGAGGTTCCGAGTTTTAAGTAAATCAGCCCATTGCAGTCAAGGGTTTAAATCTGAATTATTTATACTCCCTTTTACAGCACTAATCTCTTTAGTCATCTGAGCTCAATTAGAAAGAAAACCAGCCATTACTTTTAATAGACAGAAGAATAAAACCCCCTTGGGTTTATGCTAAGCAGCGGGGAGTGCGTTTCAGGGGAGATCCCAGGCCCCACCCCTCAGGGGTCTGATGGTGCAGGTGGGGGCGGGACTCCGGGGCTCTGAAGTACAAACCGCACACACGATATCAATAGGAATATAAAATAGTTACTCCGGCTAGCACGTGGAGGGCCATGCACTCTGCAATTTTGCATAAAGGGGTCGTCTACCTGATAGGAAGAAAACCTTCTGACACCCTCATTCATCATTCAAAAGTCAGTCTGGGTGACTGAGGTCAGTTGGATTCTGCCGGTTACCAAAAGCCACGGGGCGCTAACTGGCCTTCTCCCAAATACTGAGGCCGGTAGCTGCACTGTCCCGGCACAGTAAGCCAGGGACCCGGGGACAAACAGGGCCCCAGGACCTCACATTCGGAGGAGCGGTACTGGCCGTGGCCATCGCGCACGGGCAGTGACTGAAAATTCTGGCCTCACAGGCAGCTGAACTGGAAATGTCTCAAAAGCGTGTGTTAACGCGAACGGCTTATTTTATAACGTGTGTGTGATCGTGTTGTCACACAGTCATGTAATAGCGAGCGAATTGACCATGCTGTCTGTCCCTTCATCCTTATCTAAAAAACGGAAACAGCCCTTTGCTTGCAGGCTTATGAAAATGAAGTGACACAGGCTTTCAGGGAACGGCAGCTCTACGCATCTGTTACTTTGGTGGGAAGGGTTTGTAGCAGCTTTGTAACTGTTTGAAATATATTTTAAACGTACACAGTTCTTGATACACAGTTAGAAAAAAGTCTTTGAATGTTCCAGTTATCAGAATATAGGAAAAAAAAATGTCAAGAAAGGTTGTCTCAGAAACACTAAGAAAAATCTCATGTCTTATTGGCAGCAATATGAATTGGTATAACTTTGGAAAGCAACTCGAGAAATTCCTTATAATCTCCGTAGAAAGGGCTTCATCACAGCACTGTTCACAAAAGAAAAAGGCTACACAGAAGCTTAGAAGATTCTTCATAGAAACCACTACAAAGGGCCCGGCTCACCTGGACCCCTGGGCATCGGAGCCAGGTGGGGCCCAGGAGTGTCTGCGGCAGCAGGTCCGGGGTGGGGGGCGGGGGCGGGCAGGCAACCTAAGTTCCCAGGTGAGGCTGGTGTTGTGGGTCTGGGAGCCCCGGGAACCATCTGGTCTGTGCTGTGGATTTCACACAGCTCGGGAATCAGAGCCAGTGGTTCTGACAGGGGACAAACGTCCACTGTGCTGAACGGGGGACATGAGGCTGGACAGGCGGTGACTCCTTCACAGGACCTGCAGCCATAAACTCCGGGGTGGGTGGATGGGGGTGGGTGCCTGGCAGCCAGCTGCTGGAGGCACCCTGTCACGTGGATGTATCACGTTTTACACGCCCACAGAATAATTCTAAATGGAGAACTTTCTACTGAAAAAAAAAAAAAAAAAGGAGGGAAACAATTTAGGACAGTTCAACTTTCATGACTTGATTTACAAAAGCCACCACTCTCCTTGCCAGGAGTGCTTACTTAAAAAAAACTGCAGTTGGGCCAGCTGAGTGGCGTGATGGTTAAGAACTGGCTTGGGATGCCAGAGGGCCCCGGTTCGGATCCCACATATTAGTGCCAGTGACACTGCCCTCTACAGCTAAGATGCTGAACAACAGCTCGACCTGGAGCTGGGCTGCCGTGAGTCGCTGGCGATGGTGTAGGCTGCAGCCCCTGAGGCAGTGGGTTGCCATGGGCTACCGTGTGTAGCCAGCAGCCAGCGTGAGCGGCCGTCCAGAAGCCAGCGACTGATCTGCCTCTCCCGGGAAGAGCGCAATGATGGTGCCAACATGGGCCAGTGAAGCAACGTCCTCCACAACTAGACTGAAGAACAAAACGACAGCAACTTGTCTGTTCCCCTTCGCCAATTCCCCAGCACTGTTCCCATCCCCCCAATTCCCCAATAAAAATCTTTAAAAAACAAAACAAAACTGCAGTCACGTGAAATCTGAAACCTGGGGAACCCCAAGGCCAGACCCACTCATGGCTCCTTGGCGACGTATTAGCATTGTGTTGCATTAATGGGCTCAGAGACAGCGGGGCAGATACGAAAAACGACGCATTTCTTTTAGAGCAGTCAAGTGCTGTACGGAAACAGTGACAGTGTCAGTGCGGGGGACAGGTGGGACCCCAGTGAGAGACAAGCTGCTCGCTTATCCTTAGGTGGCACCGTTTGGAGGAAGCACCTGGTTCACACAGGTTTTGGAAGCGGGAAGGAAATGGGCTGAAACAGTGGGGTTGTTGAGCATTTCTTCAAATAGGAAGCCAGTGACTGGTGGGGAGTCTCACTGCAGCGAATTCACATTTTCAATGAAAAAAACGCCAACTTTCTCAATTTTCCTTGTTATGATATTGGTTAAAACTTTTTTTGGCAGATGAACATGTGTTCATTTCATCTAGCTGAGAGATTGAAATGTTCCTTTTATGCTGAAATGCAAATTACTAGGAAGATACTCCAAGGAAAAATAAAATCTATTTACCACGAAGTTTTTTACATATGCTCCAGAAGCTATAACAATAAAGCAAATAAAACATTCTGAAGACCAATAAACAAAGCTCACAAAGTTTCTTCCATGGATATGCTACGATCTGTTAATGGTAGTGTTTATTTTAATATTATTAAAATCCCACATTTAATAAAGTTCTATTATTATATAAGATTAATATTCTAGTAGTTAATGGTCTATTTCATTTTAATGTTATTAAAACCTGATATTTTGTAGAGACTAATGATAAACAAGGATTTTTGAGGGAAAAATGAAGTCACCATTTCATGTGAGACTGAAAAAAAACCAAAAAACATATTTTGATTGTTTCAAAAGCTGAAAGCACTGCAAACAGGTAACAGTTTTCAGAAAACGACTTCCCATTAACACAAGCTAAACATTTAGGGGCGGCCAGGTGGCTCAGTTGGTGAGCGCGCGTGCTCTTAACAACCAGGTTGGTGGTGTGACTCCCGCATGGGGTGGGGGGCTGCACCCCCCGCAACTAAGATTGAAAGTGACGAGTGAACTTGGCGCTGAGCTGCGCCCTCCACAACTAAGACTGAAGGGCGACAACTTGACTTGGAGCTGAAGGGTCCTGGGACTGTTCCCCAGTCAAGTTTAAAAAAAAAAAAAGACAAGCATTTAGACTTCAGGTATGTACAGGTGTCACCATGCGTGTCACGGGCACGCCACGTGAATGTGCAGCTAAGTGGCCCCGGTTTGCCTCCATACTTTATCAGCTCTGCGCTCACAAGGCAAGTTGCCTCCACTCTTTGTGACTGTGTTCTCACCAGTAAAACAGAAATAACAGAATGACGTCATTTACCTCAACCAGGTTACACAAGGCATACCTCCCAGAAACTTCCACCATTCCGACTTAAATATTGTTGGAGGAGGAAACGTTATGGACCCATTTCTACTTCCTTTTTAAAATAATTAAGGCAATGAAAAAATGTTTACTTTGATTTCTTATGTGTGAGTCATATGCACACTTGCCATTAAACATGAGAAAGCTTTTTTTAAAAAATGAGAAATCCTTTCCATTTAAAGAAAGCCTGATAGAATAAAAATTTCATTAAATTTTCAATGCCATGACTTGTTTAAGAAAATATTTCGCACGGCTCAGAAGGACAGATAATATATGACAGCAAACAAATCGGAAATATCTAAGCAACTAAAAAAGGAAACGCTGGGATAGGAAACAGTAATCAGGAAGTCCTACTTGCTTATATTCAGGTCACAAATTTCATTCTGAGCTTTCTAATAATTATCAAGAAAACAAACATTTGGCTGGTTAAATAATTCACAATGCCCAGAAAGGTTTTTTGTGTGTGTTTTTTTAATTCCGCAGATGAAACATAACCACACCCGACACAAGACAGAGAAAAGGAGCCGTACGGGTCCCCACACAGGGCGTTTCTGGGCACCGCGCAGCCC